GAAATTGTTTGGCAACACAATGGTAACATAAAGTATCTGATATTTGGACCGTTGCCCAGTTGAGACCATCCCCATCATTCTCATCCCCGCACTGCTACAGTTCACATCAATGATGGCTACTCTACTGCCTTTCAGAGCCTTTGCAGGGGCCACCTTACATGACTGCTTCAACTGGTTGTCAGTGCTGGTTTTGCTGCCTCTTGAAGTGGCCAGTGGCTATCTGCACTACCTCACCACGGTGACTGTGGCAACTCTCAACTTCCCCAGTGGACAGGACGCTCCAGAGCTTCTGAAAGTAATCACAAAGCCCTTCACTAGCCTTATTATCCAGGTGTGTGTTGTTGGCAAGTCGTGTGTGGTCTCTTTGGGCTTTGTCATAAGGGAAATAGCCACCTCCCCATGCTTGGGACCCGGGCCATGTCCTTATCCTCCATTCTACCTTCCAGTTCTCTCTCTAGGTGGTGAGTGTCAGGAGCCTAGCCTTTGTCTACATCTAAGGACTGTGGATCTGTTGGTCTCTGTGAAGTTCATACCTTCAATAAATTGTGGGGCTACTGAAAGATGATTATTTGGCTACTGGTAAAGGGTCAATGTCCAAGATGCTGTAAAGCAAAGTAGGAAAAGGGATTTGGTAGCCAATAGTTGAGGGGGAAATGGGGACCCAAGCAAGTCCTGCTTTACTCACTTCAGGTCACACCTCATGCAATGGGAGAAATGTTATTCTCTTATGGTACAAGAGATTGTGATGGGGACAGCCTTGGCAGGGGAAAGCCCAGGCAGGTGTAGCAGTCAGTTCCCTAAGAACCCAGCTCAATTCCATAGCTTCAAGCTGATATAAAAATTGCTAGTCTGTTTGTCCAGGATTTCTAAAGAGAACATAAATTTCCAGACACTCTATGCCAGGGGTCTGCTTCTCCTTCTCTTCCTTTTATGGGAAACTTTGGGCTCTCTGTCTCCCATCCCTGACAGCATTTCCATTATCTTTCCCCCTGTTCCCACAGCTGGATAAGTCAGTGATCACCGGCATTGCTACAGGTGATGAGAGTTTGCAAAACAAGAGTCTGATCAAGGTGTGGTGTAAAGCATCAACTCCACAGGTGAGAGTTCAGGGTGTGTGTGGCTGGGGTGATGCGATGGGAGGGCTAGAAGCAGTAGGGGCTGAGTATCAGAATGTGCTGGTGGTCCTGGCAGAAGACTTCAAGTCAGCGACTCAACATTTAACTGCACAGTCCAGAAATTGATCAATGAGACACCTTTGGGAATTTTGGAGAACGGAGTGTGAACAATTTCCATTTCTGTGCAGGGTTGGAAAGCAAGGTTGCACAGATCCTAGGGCACAATTGTGCTTTTTGGAGACAACAAAGCAGGAATGTTGGGGTGTGAGAGATGACATTGACCCGGTTCGCAGATCCCATTAAACCACCCTTAAAATTAACCCATGGTTTAATGTGCTGGTTCACAGTGTTGAAATCACAGGAGCTTCACTTCTCCCCTGCTCCTGCTGCTACCGTCCCCAGGAAACAAGCCATGATTTGACTTGTCATGTTGTCTTAAGCCAGTTTGTTCAAAGAGGGCCAACCAAAGTTGTTGAGCTTTTTTTAAGATTGAAGTTGTGGAGGTTTTTTTTAGGATTTTACCCCAGGAAATAAAATGCCACAGGGGCTGGTAACGGACTTTGGACATGCCTGTCTTAAGGCTTCAACCCAAGGCCTATGGTCACAGTGCTTAGCCAAAAAGACTGGACTTATGTGGGATGTTAGCGCAAGCACACAGAAACATTATGGACAGACATGGGAGACAATGCATTAAAATGATCATTATGCATTGCTATCCATTAAGAGCCATGAACAATTAAGTGTCATTTTAAGGATTAATTGATCACTGATGTGAGGTTGACAGGATTTAGAGGTTTTACTAGTGGGTTATCTAGAGGCTCTTTGAAATAAGGCAAGTACTGCGGTGGAAACCTGACAAAGGAAGGATGATTGGTGTTGGAATTAGCATTTTAGTATTCTTTTGCCTGCTTGAAATAAATCGGAATGCACAAAGGAGTTAATTTAGGATGGCTAACTGAAATGGCTAAACAGAGACACCAAATATTAACTACAGAACAACAAGGCCCTTTCTGTGTCAGCATGGGTGACCAAGCGCCTGCATGGGGCTGATGCCTCCCTCCCTTTTTCTACAGATTTCTTCCTTGAGCTCTAGAGGAAGCTTCCTGAACTGCAGCTCCCGTGCCCTATGCAGCCTGGACAGTGCTGGGAACCTCAGCAGGGCTGTGAAAGAGAAATGTAAGAACTGCCAGCAGGACCCTGTTAGAAACGGCAGCTGTACCTGTGCCGTTCCTGTGAAGGCGGCAAGGGAGAATCATGACTTAGGGCAAGAGGAATCGGATTGTTCCTAATGTACTATCTGCACCTTGCTCCTTCACCTAGGCCATCACCTATTTGTGGACACCTCTCTGCCAGACTTGGCTGTGGGCCTCCTGCTGCTGGCTGCCTCACTGATTATGCTGTGCACCTGCCTGATCATGCTGGTCAAGATGCTCAACTCTGTGCTCAAAGGCCATGTGGCCAAAGCAATCCAGAAGGTCATCAACACAGGTAGGCTGGCTGAAACCAGGCCCAGAGAGAACTCCTGGCTCCCTCAGTGGATACCCAGCCGTGAGCCAAAGGGTGTGGATTCTAGTAGAGACTCTCTGGGTTCCAGGCCACCAGAAGTTCACTAACTGGGTTCTCATGGCTGAAGCTATCTGTGGATCTCAGTCTTTCCTCCTTGTTCCTGGGCAGATCTGCCATCCCCTTTTGGCTGGGTTGCTGGCTACTTCGCCATGCTTGTTGGTGCTGGAATGACCTTTATTGTACAGAGCAGCTCAGTCTTCACTTCAGCAATCACACCACTTATCGGTAAGTCAGCATTTACTCTGGTTCCATGGGCAAGATAGAAGGGATGTGTGTGTTTACACAAAAGGGAACTAAAATGGCCAGACTGACAATAAAGCCTATAAGTCCCGTCTCTCCCACTCGGCCTCTTATGAGGAAGTGGGTCTTCGGATACCTGAATATCACTAACCCAATATAAGCATTTAGAAAGACCAAGGTGTTGCTGTAACTTCTGCTAAACAGTAAGTGATGGTGCTGTGAAGCATAGCTAGCTCTGGAATCCCTCAGGAAGAAGATGTCATGAGTAATAGCAGAATATGTCTCGAGGCGCTCTTGCAGTGGCATAAAGGCCAGGTCTTTAAAAAGGAATGTTCCCCATTGCCTGTTATCTTGAGTGACTGTTGAGGGGAAAGAAAGTGCTGTTTTCCTGATGGTTTTCTCTCTTTTTTCTTCTCCTTCTGCTGCACAGGCCTTGAGCTGATTAGCTTGGAACGTGCTTATCCACTCACCCTTGGTTCCAACATCGGAACAACCACCACAGCTATCCTAGCTGCCCTGGCAAGTCCAGGAGACAAGATGGCCAGTGCCTTCCAGGTGAGCAGATGCCCTCTCCCTACTTGGTTAGGGTGGAATTACTTTAGAAGAGCATCCCTTCCAAGCCAAAGGGTGTGTGTGTGTTATGTATACATACACACATATGCATTATATACACAAATGCTGCCAAACAGAATCCACCTTGCACAGTTGGTGCATCCCAGGTCAAATATGGCTGATTTCAGCGATACCCTTCTGGTCTTTTATGTATTTCTGTCTACTGCAAATGCAAATGCAATGGACCTCTGTTTGGGAAAAAGGCAGTATAGAGAAACAAACAAACACAGTTTGTCATGACCGCATTGATCTTGGAAGGCCCTGGGTTATTATTATTTATTACATTTATATCCCACCTTTCTTCCAAGGAGCTCAGGGTGGCATATGTAGTTCTCCCTCATCCCATTTACCCTCACAACAACCCTGTGAGGTCAGTTAGACTGAAAGACTGTGGCCAACCCAAGGTCAACCATTGACCTTCATGGTTGAATGTGAATTTCCACTCTTGTCTGTCAGATGTCAATCCAGCACTCTGGCCGCTGCACCACACTGGCTCTTCAAACATGAAGTGGCCCATGGGGAAAGCGGGATTATCTTCTTTACATGCCCTACCTGTTTCAGCCTGGCATGCCATCATTTCTCAGTCTTGCCTCCAGGATGGTTGCTATGTTTCTGTTTTCCCCTCCTCAGATTGCTCTTTGCCATTTCTTCTTCAACATCTCTGGAATCTTACTGTGGTATCCCTTGCCTTGCACCCGTCTGCCCATTCAGATGGCCAGAGCGCTAGGTGAGCAGACGGCCAAATACCGCTGGTTTGCCGTCTTCTACCTACTCACCTGCTTCCTGCTGTTGCCATTGCTGGTTTTTGGACTCTCCATGGCAGGATGGCAGGTCCTGGTGGGCGTGGCAGCCCCTTTCCTATGCCTCCTGGCTTGTGTGGCCTTTGTCAATGTCATGCAGTCACGAAGTCCCGGCCGACTGCCCCGGTGGCTCCAGAGCTGGGACTTCCTGCCGTACTGGATGCACTCCTTGCAACCCATGGATGAGCTGATCACTAGGGCCACACTGTGTTGCGCTGGTCGTCGCTCAAGCAGCCAAGAAGAACAGAGTGATTTATCTCCTCAGATTAAAGCCAGTCTCTCAATCACTTCCTTAGAGGAATTGTCACTACCACCAAGGCCCTCTCCTCGACTAAATTTACCAGCAGTGCAAAATGCTACCCACCTGTAACCTGTGTTGGAACATCGCCCCATTGCTGCCTGCAGATAGTGGTGCTCAGCAGAAAAGCAATGGTAGACCTGACCTCTGAAAACAAAGTGCACCTGCCACCGTGTAGGGAAGGGTGTGTGTGTGTGTGTGTGTGTGTGTGTGTTGAGCTGCAGTGCTGGTGGCTTCATGTGTGACTCTAGCTGTATGACTGCCATGTGTGTATCTGTCTTCCAGCCATTGTGGATTCTTCTGCCACTGTGTATGACCCTGTATTGAGAGAGAGAGAGAGAGAGAGAGAGAGAGAGAGAGAGAGAGAGAGTGTGTGTGTGTGTGTGTGTGTGTGTGTGTGTGTGCTACCCACCTGTCTATAAATGAGCATTCAACTCTTGCTTTAAACATCAGTGTGTATGGCTTGCATCCATGAGTACAAAATTCAGCCTTTGCAACTGTGTTTGTGTCTCTCAAGGTGAGGGTGTTTTGTGTGCAGTGCATTAGATGCCCTGCCATGAGTTGGTTTGGGAAGTTGAGCAAGGTCTAAGCTTGGGATGTTCTGCATGGAGACAGCAGGGATGTTCTTCCTGTAGCAGCACTGGGGATTATCCTGTGAAGTATTTTTCAGGATGTGCCACACATTTGCAATATATTAAACATAATTATGTAGTGGTGCTTGGAGATCATTCTCCACCCTCCTCTCCTGACAATATGGTGCCAATAGCCTCTTTGTGACCTCTTGTCTCTCTATGACGGGGGACACTGCTTTAGTAAATATCATCTTTAATTTTAAAAAATTGTTTAGAAGTTTTAAGAAAAGTATTGCTACCTCCCCATTCACATTGCTTTTATATCTGCAGATGAGTTCTGAACAGTTTTCTAGGTGGACTATCAGGGTTCAGTAGGATGGGAATGGGATGAGATGGGAATGGAATGGCTTGAAGGGGCTTCTTTCCATGTATCTTTTGTTGTACGACTTCTTGCTTTCAGTCAAAGTGCAAACCAAAGTTTCGTGGTTCAAATAAAAATCCAGATTGGGAAGAGCTTGATGTTTATTATTTACAAAATTTGGTGCACTATTATCTTTGTCACACACACACACACACACACACACACCAACTCACCCAATGTACAGCAAAGTTGTATAATGCAGATCAACCGCTAGCAGTCAGCAAAAAGAAATTGCACATAAAACAGAAGCCATTTCTTACATATTTTTGGAAACAAAACCCAAGTCCTGTGTTGTTAAAGAGAATATGAACACTTAAGAAAGCGCTGCCTTGGATGAGAAACCTGGCATGTGATGTGGGCAAATTCTCTGTTTGAGGTTGTCATCAAAATGCTTCTTTTGAGTTCTGAAGCCTGACCCATACTGCCTTAGGAAAATGTACACACAAGGATAAATTAGGAATGCCTGTGGTTTTTTTTAATGCTTCTAATTGTTCTATACCTCACTAAATAAATTTCTTTTCATTGAAGTTTCAGAACTGGCTGTGTGGTTGAGTGTCTTCTAGACTAATTTGAGTTGTTCCAGGCACCTGCATTTTTTCTTCTTTAGATGTTCCCATGCCCCTTTTTCGCACGTACCATGTGCTCTCCTCAACAGAATCAGTCTAAGCCACCTACCCACTTCATCACATACCCTTATATCACCACCGAATAGCCAAGGTTCCTTCTCTTTTTGCGGTCTCTGGCACTGGCAGCACCTTTGAACTGCAGTCCTATGATTCAGAAATGCATTTTCCTGTTGTTCCATTTGATTGTTCAGGTAGGGTTTCCAAAGGTAAATGTCAAAAATAATGGATGCTTTGGAGCTGTAGCTTTTGTGTTTGCTCTTTATGACAGCTATGACTATGAGTGCCACAGTAAAAGGAACATCTATTATAATCTTATGTGTCCCCACTCCCCCAACTGATGGGATGTTCCAAGGGTGTCATTACTTGATTTGGCTTCCTTTGGAGGAGAAAGAGCACTTTGGGGGCTGGTTCAGACAGAATGGGAAAATATGTGAATGAGCCACAGTATGTCTCACACTTGTGTGCTCTCCATCTCCTTTCATTCCCATAAGGAGATAAGAAAAGTCTGCTTCCAGTTTAAAATTAACCACAGTTTCCTGTCTGAACTTGGGAAACTGTAGTTTGTTTAAACTATGGTCAGTGAGAACAAGCCAGGATCATAATGCGGTTTGTGACAAATCGTAAGTTTGCTTTTTTAATTTGGAAGTCATTCGGTATTGCAGTTAGTTTTTAAAAGTGGAAACTTCTGATCTCTTCAGTCACAGAAAAGGAGGAAAGGAAAGAGGAAAGTCTGCAGAAGCTCGCCTCCACTTGTTCATGTCCAAACTAGGCCATGATGCCTTTATAATATTTGCTTTATTTATAAATATGCAAGCAGATAATAAGTGGAGGTAAAGCGGTGCACCATCAGAAACTAAGCTATGGTTTGGCTTAGTATTATGTCTGAATCCAGGCTTGTTGTTTGTCTTACTTCAGACAAATGATGAGCTGTAACCAAGGTTTGTTCTTGGCTTACCACTTGTTGCTTGCTTGTTTGTTTGTTTGTTTGCTTGACTTAAATCCCTAAAATAACCTAAGGAAGTTTACATAAGGAAAATTTCCCATCCCCTTCTCACCCTTATAACCGCTTTTGAAGGGCAAGGGTCCCTCCTTGGTCAGTATGGGCTAAGACCAGGGCTTTATGCAGCTGGAACTTGCCAGAACTTAGTTCTGGCACCTCTCAGGTGGGTGCCATTGCCATTATAAGAGAACAAGGGAGGTGTTCATGGTGAGTTTAGGCACAGCTTTTTCTAGAAAAATAGTGCTGGCTAAGGCATAGTGGTGGTTGGAAACTTTGCTTCTTTGAATTCCCTTGTTTAATTTATCATAGGATTTGAGTCTGAGCAGTGCCTCCATTCCTCAGCAGTTCCACCTGCACCCCAGCCCATAATGTTGAAGAGGTTCCCAGATACTCCAAGCAGTTTTTCAGGAAGATGCAGAAAGAGGGCATGAAAGTTTCCTTCCATGAGCTTCCTTACCTTAGGATCCATGCCAGTATTATTAATTGCTTGTGGAGCAGTTCTGGGAAAATCAATATTTAATGCAGAGTATGAATAATTCCATGAGATCTTCTGCCTTGCGGATACTCCATGGAACAGTTGCTATAAATTGCTCAGACTCTTGGCAGACAGCTCTTTAAAATGCTTACCTATGTGTTTATGTGTGTCATATTTTAAGTTTTAACTTAAAAATCCCTTATTTGGGGCTGATCGTGCATAGTTTACAATGCCCCAGACTGCATCTTTTGGGAACCAGGAACAGACATGGCCACTGGATGGCAATGCTGAGCTGAACAGAGCTTGGAATGGAGTTTTAGCTCCTCATTGAGCAGGCAAAAAGACTTGGGATTCATGGCGTGACTCCCAGAAGAGCCCAGGTGGGCTTCTGGCCACCCAGTGAGAAAGAACTGAGCCGTTTCAGGTCCCTGTCCTTTCTTTATAAAGATGGAAGAGCATTGGCTCGGAAGAACAATGGCGTTCCAGCAGAATTTAGGAGAGAAAGATTTCCATGTCTACTTAACTTCAGCTAGTGGCTGATCATCAGGAACCTCTGCACCTGGAGCCTTTTAATGAACCATTTCATAGGTAAACATAGGAATATGTGGTGGACTAATTAAAATGGTGCATCTGAGCATGTTCGGAGTTCCTTTTTCTGATTACTGAGTAACCGCAGCCACAAATGGAGAGACACACTAACTACAGGTTCAGGGTTGGTTTCCAGTGCTGGATATACGGGTTAGTTTGCATTCTGTGGTGGTTCTAAAAGAAAAGACAGTGGTGTGTGAAGAGCTATTGACTGGGAATTCTTTTTCTTCATTAAATCTCTGTGTACAATAACATATTCACACCATACAAATACATTTTTTTTAAATAAGCCAATCATAAACCTGTGATGGAGACATTATAAATAGTAAATTATTTTATTTTATCCTTTCTTACATTTGCTTAGGCTTTATTATAATGTCATCTGCTCCATTCCCAGCTATCCCAAATCCTCTTTTCCACAATCCACCATTGTTACACAACCACTACTTTCTTTGTAATTTCCATATTTCTTTCCATTCTTGCCTGTTTGCCACCTGCTCCCATAACTTACAGCTCCCTACAGTTCCCAAGCCTCTGCGAACCTGGTCCTTGTTATCTTGTTAAAAATAGACATCACTTGGGACTTTTCTCCAGCTATCACCCTGACCACTGGCTAAGCTGGCTGGGACTGATGGGAGTTGGAGTCCAACAACATCTGGGGTAGGGAACTACAACTCCCTTCTTCCCTGACCATTGCCCATGCTGGCTGGGGTTGCTTGGGGAGTTGTCGTTCAACGGCAGCCAGAAGCCACCAAGATTGGGAAGGCTGTATTGGGACAGTAAAGAAGCAAGAGAAACGTCATCTGCCCTGGCACAGGTGAGAGCTTTACTGGATGGTTGTCCACTATCATTATCACTGGTGGAACCTCTACAAGGAACTTCCCCTCTGGTGGCTCATGGAAAAACCCTCTCTCAGTTTACTGACTCAGAGGTAAGTCGCACCAGATCAGCTGGATATATGCCTGAGTTTAAAAAGTTTAGGATCTGGGTTGTAGGCGGCTAGGCACAGCCCTTCCCCAGCCCTTTCCTCCTGGTGTATGTGCACGCCTGCCAGGTGCTCTGAGCCTGGGTGCTCCCTCTCCTGGGCTCTTTGTGTTGGCAGCAAGCAGCCTCTCCCACCAGCTGGAGCTGGCTGGGCGCCTGTAGGCCAGCCAGCCAGCCAGCACTGCCTGCCCCTCCCTTCCCTCCCCCCAAGGGATCTGCTCAGAGGCCGGATGCAAAGAGGCTCAGAGCTGGAGCAGCTCTGCCGGGCTTCACACCACTGCGGGGAGAGGGAAGAATCAGCAGGCAAGAAGAAAGGGGTGTACTCTGCACATACCCACCGCTTTGCCTTGGACATGCTTAATATCAAGCGGAAGGCAAGGGATTGAGGCCATCTGTGGACTGTTCTCTGAGGGAACTGTGCATCTCCTAGATCTGCTGCCTGGGGGCACTAGATTTACCTATCTGCCCTGAACTGCCCTGAAATCCACTATAGTGTTCCATGGGACATCACACTTTGAGATCTACCATGCTTCACTGGAACTTGTCGTTTTGCTTTAGTGTCTGATGTGCTGCGCCAGGATCTGTTGGGCCACCCCACTGCCGTGCTGTTGAGCCCCACAAGGTAGGATGGTGCCAGGTGAGAGGAAGGCTGCTGGGCCCGTCCTTTTCTGGACCTGTGACCATGAAACAGAGCCTTGTGAGTAGGCCTGGGTGAGACTTGGGAGCCTGTGAACCTTGCACAGGTAGCTTTGGGCACCCCCATGGCCTGGTCTGGGGATGCATGGTATGGAGCCACAGCAAAATGGATCTGGCAATCAGAGTGACCAGGCACCCGCTGAGCTCCCGCACTCGCCTCTTGGCATGGCACTCATCCTGGTGGCCGTGCTGGTCATGGCACTTGTGACCCTACTGGGGAACGTGTTGGTAGTGCTGGCTGTGTACACCAGCCGGGCCCTCCGGGCCCCGCAGAACCTCTTTCTGGTGTCTCTGGCTGTGGCAGACATCTTGGTGGCCACCCTTGTCATCCCCTTTTCCTTGGCCAATGAGGTCATGGGCTACTGGTGCTTTGGCGGCTTTTGGTGCAGCCTCTACCTGTCGCTGGACGTGCTCTTCTGCACCGCCTCCATCATGCACCTCTGCGCCATCAGCCTGGATCGGTACTGGGCCGTCACCCGTGCTGCCCGGTACAACCTCAAAAGGAGTCCCCGGAGGGTCAAGTGCATGATTGGGGCTGTCTGGGTCATTTCTGCCTTGGTGTCCTTGCCACCGCTTTTCAAGTCAACGCACCAGGACCAGCTGTGCTTGCTGCACGACGACACCTGGTACGTACTGGCCTCTTGCACTGCCTCTTTCTATGCCCCCTGCCTCATCATGGTCGCTGTCTACTGCCGGATCTACCACGTGGCCAGGCACAGGAACTCGGTGGTCATTGCTGCGAGACGTGTCTCCTACCCCAACCTTATCACTGCAGCCAAGTGCGACGCCCGCAGAGTGAGCACCCAGCACCCTGGGGAAGTGCAGAATGCAGGCTCGGAGCACGGCCAGCTTCCCCACCCCCAGCCTAGCTTGCCCCGGCTCTCTCGGCAGTGGAGGGCAGAAGAGATTGGTAACAGTGCCAAGTCACAGAGGACCCCCAGGCTTTCCTGGTCAGTTCCCTCTAGCCGGCAGCAGCGCAGGAGCAGGGACATGTCCGTCTCCACCAACCGGCTGGTGCAGGCAAGAGAACGGCGGTTCACCTTTGTCCTGGCTTTCATCATTGGGGCTTTCGTGCTCTGCTGGTTCCCGTTCTTCTTCACATACAGCCTCGAGTCCGTGCTCGGGGAAGGCTGCTGCATCTCCAAGCCTCTCTTCAAGTTCTTCTTCTGGATTGGCTACTGCAACAGCAGCTTCAACCCCATCATCTACACCGTCTTCAACCGGGACTTCCGGCGGGCCTTCCAGCAGCTTCTCTCCCGTGCCGACCCACTTACATGCAGGAAGTGAGGACTCTTCTGATAGAGGGCTGTTTGGGGAGGTGGAGAGAGGTGTTGGCATGCAGGCTGGGGTTCTAGGGCCTGTGTACAAAACATCATCCTGTGGCAACAGGTTGAGGCTGATGAGTGAGATAATATCACTGCTGGTTTTGTGCTGAAAAAGCTCCTGCTAAAGTGGTAAATCTGTGGCATGAGTGGCACAGGCAGCCAGACATTTATGACATGAAGGGCTGGTGGGCCTGGTTATGGCACAGAGAGTCAGGCTTACACATGCCCTGCCTACCTCTCCTGTACTGTGCTGCTAGCCTGCTTACCAGTCCAATAGGCCAGAGGCCAAGCACTAGTGCATTGAGGGACAGGAGTAGACTGCTTATGGGGCAGTGGAATAGTGGTAACTTCTGAAGTGCAAGTGTGCTGTTCCTGGCAACCCCTTACAGCCATGCCCAACACTGTACAACAGAAATTAATTTTTGGCTGAGGCTGACATTTTGGCCTCAGTACCTCGCCAGCTTCTTTAACCTCTCCATCTGCTCCTTCGTTTAAGATATCTAGTCTGATGAATAGTTCTAGTGGACTCAAGAGCTTTCTTATCATCTTGTGACATTTCGTTGGTTATTTAAAAAAGGGACTTCGACTTTTTAAAGAAATAAAAGTGTTGGCTTAACTCTTAATCATGCATTTGAAATGAAATCTACCTCTTCCTCTGCTTGGTTTATTTAGTAGGTAGCTGCATTTTGCGGGAGGCAGGGGGAGTGTACACAGAAGATTGGCAAATGGTACCCCAGTGATGACATCTGGCAATGACATAATGACATAATGACTTCATATTTGCCCATCCCTGCTTCACTGCTCCGAAACAGTGGTACTACTCTTACTTTCAACTTACCTTATGGCAGAGCTGCTAAAACATTTGCCCATCATCACAGTAAATTAAGCAGATGTGAGCTCTGCATTCTGCTACCTTGGTTTAGAACTGCCAAGTTACAGATCCCAACAACCATAGAGTTGTTCATGAATCCCTGAAATACGCTCTCTATTCCCAAAAGAGTTCTAGCCCACAAAAGCTTTGCTGCGCGCCTTTCTCCCAGCTGCTCTGCGGGAAGGAAAAGGATAAGGTCTGCCTTGGAAGAGATTCCGTGAGGTGACTTGCTTCTGTATTGGGGATGGAGACATACAACGGATCCCTCTCAAATGCTTTTCCCGCCTCAGGTCAGTGTCATTTTGAGGGAATCATGGGCATAAGTAATAACGTAAAAATGGCCTTTCTGAATCAGGCTAAATATCCATTTAGTGCAGGGGGTAGATAACCTTTGTTCTGCCAGGGCCACATTCCCTCAGGGGTAATCCGTTGGGGACTGCATGTCAGTGGTGGGCAGGACCAGAGTGAAATGTGGATGGGGCCATCTCTTTCTCTTTCACCTCTTTCCATCTACTCCCACCCCAATCAGGGGTCTGCTGAGGGAGGGTTAGATAGCCCATGCAGGAGTTCACAATGGGTCATTTGCAGAGGGCTTTTGAAATTAGACTGAGCCCCCCCCCCCCGGCAAAGTCACTGGTGACCCGAGGGCACTATGTACTGGAGCTGAAGTACTTGAGCAAAGGATCAGCGTGTTCTAGTTCACTCTCCCCTCTCTGTGTCTCCCCCCCTCCAAGAGTGACTTTGCAGAAAAGAAGACTTTTCTCTCAGTTGTGCACAGTGCGGAGTTTCCTTCCGGCAAGGTCAAGGTTGGTGCTGGTGGGACCCATGGAATTGCTGTGTCTCCTCTGCCTGCCCCCTTTGTTCAGTAATCACATGTTTTAGTTTTGGGATGTCTGCCTCTGCCTCAGTTAGTCTGTTTTGCTGATCCGAGGGGAGCTGGGCAAAGCTAAGAGGGAGGCCGGATGCTGAATCAGCCATCTGGCTCTGGGAAACAGATATTTACCCCTGATCCCACTGCTGGTCAGATGCCAGCTACTGAAAAGTGGGTTTCCACTGGCCAGCCACAGGGAGCAAAGCTCTGGGGATATTTGGCTTTGAGGGGGTGAAATCCCTTGTTTCCTGCATGAAATGACAGTTATTGGGTGTTTGTGTTGCTCCCCCAGCTGTGTTTCCTCCACTATTTAGAGTTGTAGTCAGGAGAGGATCCAGTATTTCAGGTTGGGGAAAACGTTGTGCCTGCAGCCAACTACTTGGGGGATCTCTGGCTATATGTCTTATTTGAGTTTGTAGCAATTAGTTCCGCAGGTTGGAACTGGTGCCACAATGCAGCGGTCTGCTCTTTGTAGTGCACCTAACCCAACTATCAATTCCAGGCGCCTACTTCCTATTCCTCAACACACAACATAGTTCCAAACATCACCACCCCTTGAATGTTGGGCTGGCTTCAGGTACCAGGCTGCTGCTGTATAAACAGACTGTATAGCTAGAATTTCCTCTTTCCCCTGACCTTTTGATAGCTATGTGCCAGGCAGGCATTCAACAGATGTAGCTTTTCCAGGCATGGTGAGAAGGGGAAGCTATACTTACTCAACTTCTGCTTTTTCTGTTAAAGTGAGTAGAGTCTCTCTAAGGGAGAGTGGGGAAAGGTGCCAACCTTAGTACTGAAGGCTGTGTCCCAAATTGCACTTTCTACTGACAGGCCCTCTGGTGGGTTTTTTTGTGATTCCCCTTAACTGGGTGCCTGGTGTGTATTTGAAAGTTTTACATGTGTAAATTGCTTTCCTATCAACCTGCCTCTTCCATGTTTTCAAGTGATCCTATGGTTGGCTAATGTAAGAACCAAGCCTCAAATTCTCAGCAGATATAAATTAACAATGATGAACACCAGCTCTGTACCACACATACATACACATCAATGTGGGAACGGGACTGCATAGTTAGTCCCCCTAACTTTACCTATTATCTAACTATACAGACAAACAAATTAACAGCTCACACAAAAACATCTTCCCAGAAAACAGCAACTCAAGGGTGGTGACAAGGCAGGAAGGTTTCCATGGAGACAGGCCCTATTAATCCTGTTAGTAATCTACCCCAGTTCCAGCAGCTTAGAAGGGGCAGCTGGTGCCTGACTGTTATCAGCTTGGCACTTCCCCCCCTGACAGAGCCTTGGTGGGTTCTGTTCTCATGTATTGATTGCCCACTTGGGTACCACGGTGCAGAAAGGCCTAATAATAAAATGTTTGTCTCTAAAACTGCAATGTACCTGGCACCATGGGTCAGCCTCCCCATTTTACATCAGTTTATCTGTCGCAAGCATCTTCCATGTGCACAGATCAAAATTTCCTGATGTTTCTAGTCAGGACACAGGAGTAGATTGGAAATATCTCCCAGTTTTCATCTTTCACTTCCACCTTCCAAGCGGTGCTGAAAGGTGCCAGTGGCTCATCTTCTGTGTATATGTTGGACATGCAACATCCCCCAAGTGTCAAAGATCTGCCCTAGATATGGGCCAAACCCATGTAGCCATACCTGAAGGATCTTCTTTCCCAATTAACCCCCCGCCCTGATTCCACAGGGTTGGAAAATGGGGATTGTTCCTTGTACTGAACATCATGGGTGATCCTTTCAAGGCATCTTGGGCATCTTCACAAGCATGTCCTATGAAGCAGGCCACACCGCAACAGAAGGCAAATAAGGTAGAGTGTGATGCTGGCATTCAAAAAATTGCTTTGACTTTTTACACTGATTTTAGATTACCACCAATAAAGCAGGCAATGCAGCAGCTATAGCTTCCCTTGACCGTTCGTACTCTAAGCAACCATCCACCACAACCACCTGCGCAGCAAGCAAAGATTCCAGGTGTGCTGCACAGCAGGTTAGTTGATGTGGGGAGACCCCCCTCTCAGACTCACTGATGTGGCCCAAAGGAAAGCACAGCAATACATTGGGCACCAGCTTGGCTGCAGGAGTTTCTGGAAGGAGGCATACAAGGCTCCATCCAACCGCCTTAGGGACTCCACTCTGAATTTGTGTAGGGTTTACTCCTCAGCCTTTCCTTCTCTTGAAGATATTCACAAGGCAGTGGAGGTTTAGGAACAGAATTTTCCGTTTCCTAGATGGGCTGTCTTCCCAGATTGATGATCCCCATCTGCCTCTTGCTTCCCTCTACTACAGCATGTGCAGAAACCGCCTTCTTGATTGTTGTTCCCACTATTGGTCTCGTTCACTCAATTTGCTAGAGGCTGTCTTCATATGTAGGAACTTAACTCACCAAGGTTTTGAGACCCATCGGCTACCCTCACCTGTTTTAGCTAACCAGTCGAAGCTATTTCCCAGGGTGTGATGGCTGTCACATGCTGACTGCTTCTAGGAGCCACAGCGCAGGGTGGGGACCAAAGATGGACGAACTACCCCAGAAAGAGCACAACGTGCCTCCCACCAGCAATGGCTGCCTATTCTATTTTTCCCTCTCCGAGGATATTTATGTATCTTTCTGTTGCAGGAAGTTCTGTCACTGAAGAAAAAATAGCTCCAGACCAACTGCTCTGCTCTGGGGGTTTTGAGTGCCCCTCTAAAGCAGTGTTTGGCCAAGATCTGCTTCCTCTTTGAAGCCTGGTGTGTTGGGAATAAATGACCCTACATCCCAGGCAATAGGGGAGGGCCTCAACGGGGTTGCATTCAAATTCTTGTGTCAGTAAGCCCCTCCCACTCTGCATCTCTGAGCGGCAGCCAGCTGCCCTAGGGGACAATAGGACTGGAAATGGCTTTGATGTCTGAATGGAGGGATGGGCCCCCAGGGAGCTGTATAGTTAATGATTGTGCAAGGAGGTAGGAAGAGCAATATGTTCTCAGGATGTTTCTTGGATGCCCCTTGACCCTCTTGTTATTCTCACACCCCCTCCTTACTCTCTGCAATTTCCCTGTAGAGGTGTCAGTTTGGAGACAAGGATGTCCTGAGCTGAGCGTTCCTGCTGTCTCAAAGCTGGAGACAGGAAAATTTCACTACACTAACTGAGAGTCCTTCTTTGGACTTCATTCCCAGGCAGAGGTGGATTTAGGGGACCGCGACTGGTTGCACTGCACTGGGCACTGAGCCTAGGGGATGCTGCAGGGTACCATAAATGTGACATAGTGAATTGAGCAGAACGGAAGGCGAGAGGCAAAGGGCGCTGAATTCTGGCCTGACACAGGGTGCCACTGAAATTCGAAAGACCCAAGTCTAGCCCGGTCCTATGTTTCCAAAGGTTCTGAAAGTTTAATGCCCCCATTTGGGGTGGGGGAGAAACTGGATTCAGTTTGCACTTAAAGGTGAACCTATCAGATGTGCACTTTCTGAAGCAGTTCACACACCAGAAGAAAATTCACACTTCTCCAAATTTTGCAGTGCTGTTCTTTAGCAGTGTTATTTTTCTAGAAAAAGAGGTGCCAGAACTCACCACGAACTCCTTCCTCATTCTCTTAGAATGGCAATGGCGCCCACCTGAGAGGAGCAGGTCAAGTCCAGAGCAAAACTCCTTTCCAGAAGGGTAATTGCAACATCAAAGTTGGATATAGGGGAGCGCAACCGGTTTGGTCGCACTGGGTGCAGGGCTTCATGGGCGCCACAACTATGAAGTCCAATGGAAGGCGGGGGGGGGGAGGATTTTGGTGTTGCATTTTGCTCCCGGAACGTGCAAAGGGACAGGCTGTAGTACAGAGGGGAAACTTTGCTCCCCCAGATGTTACTAATCATCCTTGGCCATTCACCATGCTTGCTGGGGCTGATGGGAATT